CTGTTTGACGGAGCGGTGATCCTAAGGGAAGCAGCAGGAGGGTCTGTTTGACGGAGCGGTGACCCTAAGGGAAGCAGCAGGAGGGTCTGTTTGACGGAGCGGTGACCCTAAGGGAAGCAGCAGGAGGGTCTGTCTACGGAGCGGTGACCCTAAGGGAAGCAGCAGGAGGGTCTGTGTGATTGAGCGGTGACCCTAAGGAAAGCAGAAGGTGGGTCTGTTTGACGGAGCGGTGACCCTAAGGGAAGCAGAAGGTGGGTCTGTTTGACGGAGCGGTGACCCTAAAGGAAGCAGCAGGAGGGTCTGTTTGACGGAGCTCTGTGTTTCAGCAAAGCTCTGTGCCGCTAACAGGATATCTGGAGATGCTTTCTAATCTGACTTATTGAATAAAGGGTTGCTTGTTTGTGCCCACAGCAGCCCCAGAGAATTAATGTGTCAGACTTATTTAACTGAACGTTTCACAGTGAAGCACTTGGTGATAATCTATACCGCTGGTTTCCAAATGATGAAACGGTGTGCCGTGAGGCAAGTCCAAGTGTGTTATGATTTTGTGACAAACATACATTTTTGCAATATGATATACAACTGGAAAACATCATTGTTTTTATTGGCTTAACTACTTTCTATGCACTCATTTCATAAAACAGGCAAATTCCAAAAACAAGCAAACTCCGTATTGCACTTTTCATGAAGTTGTGCCAGAATTTGAAAGACAAACTGCAGGAAAGTCGCACTACTACTACTGACAGAACGGTGCGTTCCAACTTCTGGAAAACCTCAGATATGCTGATGATGAATCTATCAAAGATACATTTTCTTCTGCTAAGAAATGGAAACAGCAGGAGAAGAAATATTTAAGGTAGCTGAGAACACTCGTCAGTCTTACAGCAGAAGGTGCGGCATGCATGACGGGGAGAGTGAAAGGATCTGTTGCACAGGTAAAAACTCTAGCCTGTCTTTATGAGCTTCAGGAAGAGCTTCAGGAGTTTCCAAAGGAAGGAGTTATCCCACATAAGGACAGACTTGCAGATGAGAGGTGAGGCACCAGGAGGGCTTATCCTGCAGACATATTTGACAAGTTAAACGGGAAGCCTCAGGGCAGAAATGAAAAGCTTTTATCACCCACAGACAAAATTCTGGGTGTTATGAGCAAACTGACCCTTTGGGACAGAGCTCCATGGACCTGTTCCCTCTGGACTCAGCTGCACCACATGCAGCCAGAGAGCCTTAAAAGACAGGGTTGAGCTGACTTCAAGGACTATGATTGGATCAGAGTCCAAGTCCTGAGGAGAGCGCAGAGCTCTGTCCTCACAGTGAAAGTAACATTTAGTGAGCTTCCACTCGCTCAGTTTAGGCCTGTTTGTTCATCAGAACCCCCGACCGTCTCCCTGAGCACTGCCAGCCAGCTTCTTCATCTCCACCACCTGCCAGTGGGAACGGGCATCTCCACCATCGTTTCCATGAATAACCAGACCAGCTCACCGCTCTCTGTTGGGCAGGACATGTGAGCAGCTCTCTGCTCAGTGAAACCAAACCCCGGCAGGCACACGTTCCCGCTAATGTGTTGATTGGGGGAACATTTACAATGTTAGGCTGGTTCTAAAGGTTTCAGTCATAACTGGGTCAGATTCAGGACCATGAAGACTGCAGCTTTCTCTGGACAGCTCCACTCTGAATTTATCTTTCATTTGTCTCTAACCCGCTCTGCTTTCAATTAGAGCATTTAAATTAGATTCTCTTTGCAATATGGTGTCAATAATATTTCCTGATTAATACATTTGTCTTTGTCACAATTGTATTTGGCATTAGTGAATAATTTCAAACTTTAAAGATGATATGAGAGATAACACATGTTAAAGGATATTTGGCACAACAGGTGTGACTTGGGCTTAAATAATTTGGCATAAACAGATAAATAATTACTGGCTAATTAATAGTCCCTAATTACTGTCTAATTACTGCCTTATTCATAGTTAATTACCGGCTAATTAATAGTCCCTAATTACTGCCTTATTCATAGTTAATTACCAGTTAATTAATAGTCCCTAATTACTGCCTTATTCATAGTTAATTACCAGTTAATTAATAGTCCCTAATTACTGCCTTATTCATACTTATTAATAATGCCTAATTACTGCATAGTTACTGCCTTATTCATAATTAATTACTGCCTTATTCATGGCTTATTACCAGCTTATTAATAATGCCTAATTAGATATTAATGCTTAGTTAGTGCCTCATCGTTGCCTTGTTGCTGAACACTCATCGGTGATTTCCTCTCCAACAGGACTTCTCTGTCTATCTGGCCTTTTCAGGCATCGTTCTGCACAACGCTCAGCTGTATGAGACCTCACAGCTGGAAATCAGACGTAACCAGGTGAGTGATGCTAGTGAAAGACTCCAGGTGAGGAGGTGGAGCTCAGACTTTCTTTGATGGATGTGTTTGGAAGTGCAGGTGCTGTTGGACCTGGCCAGCCTGATCTTTGAGGAGCAGCAGAGTCTGGAGGTTTTACTCAGGAAGATCGCCGGCACTATTCTGTCCTTCATGCAGGCGGCGGCCTGCACCGTCTTCATCGCTGGCGAAGACTCCATGGTGAGCACGCACACTAAGCATCCACCTGATGTCCAAATGACGCCTTGCTGTGGAGTGAGAGGCAGCAGGTCCATTCTGCTGTCGGCAGGTAGAGACTCCTCTGGTTGAAGGGAGACTGGGCTCATCATAGATGATGGAGGGAGGCGGCATTCATCCCAGCTGTTCTCTGGACGTTCTGAAGGCGCTCGCTCATGGTGGTGGTGGTGCTGGACAGAAGGTCACTCTGTACCAGGCCGAGAGGTCCAGCTGGTTCCATCACTTCACTGATGAGAAGCTGGATCAGGAACTGAGTGGCAGACATGGGCAATGTGGAGTCAACAAGTCATCTCCATGTCAGGGATTGGTTCTACCCAGCCACTGAAGCAGGTGAGTCCAATCCTCACCGTGGATCAACCTGTGCAGGTTGGACTCACCTGGTTAACTGATGGGTAGATTAAATACATGACATGGAGATGACTTGTTGACATTTCCCATGTCTGAGTGGTGGCGGTCAGCAGAGGAGGGGCTCCGCCCACGTCCTGGGGCGCCGCCGCCGCAGCACGTTAGCGCCGGTCTGAGGAACAACCGATGGGCTCAGGTAGCTAGCTGCTAGCCTGGCTCTGGTTCGTCCATGCTCACCTCGCTAACATGGTAGCCGTTAGGAAGCCATGAGCCGTCGGTGATGTTCTCCAGAACATGGAGTCTAAGTCAAAGTATGTGGTTCTGCTAATGG